CATAATATATAAATATACTCATTGCCCGCACGTACAAGATTAAACAAAATTGAAAATTCGTTTCGCGGGCGCACACCATTCAAAATTGACACTTTTCCGCGGGCCGCACAAATTTCCTTTGCGGGCCGCAGGTTGCACATCCCTGATCTAATTGACGAAAACTTTTATAAATATCCCGTATATAATACCTCCAAAAACTGTCCTACGATTCGACGGGTTAAAAATATTAAGATATAGAGCAAAATACTATATCGTTCGTGATCTAAAGTAAACGTTTGTCAGCGGTTTTTCTATACGTTGATATCCGTCATTTAAGTCGTTCAACTCAGTCTGTAACGGATAAACGGTCGTACCGAATCATGATTGAGCGACGTTACATTATCAATATATATTGTAATTTGATACAAAGCGTATGAACGTACAAAGCTATTTCGTTAGAGACGTCAAGTTAAAAAAGAAAGACATTTCTTACTGCATACATGTCAAAACTTCAATATGCGGGCCACGTTATCGCCCAAAAATATGTAATCATTTGGTTTCCACAATGCTTTCGCTATCACGGGCCACTATATTAGTCCCAAAAAGCCTAGCATTTTAATAATAATATCCCGACTTTGAATTGGTATCTTTTTTTTAAATAATTGCATCGCCGTAATATGCTTTTTATGCACACATATACATTTTTAAAATCCGCGTGGCGTAGATATTAGATTTTGTTGCGAATAATTATAAAAAAAAAAACTGAATATATCTATCGAAAGTTTTAATTTGAATAGTTCATGTGCAGATATATTATAATGGATGCCTGGAGATTATAAATTCAATTTTTCTTTGTAGATGTAACGGTTTAAAAACAATAGTTACTCCAAAACATCACTGAATATAAATATATATGGTGTAGCGAGTACATTGGGGTAGTTACTGTGTATTTCAATATTTTCACCTGATTGTTAATAGTGCATGTTATTCGCCTGAAACAAGGTCGTTGCTCTGATTCATTTCCTTTATGATTTATTTCCCTCGCTCAGTGTTGCTTGTCTTTAACGTTCTTCGTTAGTTAGAGATTTAGTTTCATCATGTAACTGCATTAATTGAGGCTTTAAGTGTAATTTGTTATCTGTTTTGGGGATCAATTCAATTGTGCATCTTTACAATATAAAAACATTTGGCATTCAATCCATTGTGTGCTCATTGACTTCTGTGGAGTTCAGATCGGAGTTACACTCTGCTAACGTATGTTCAATAACACGGGAGTGTGGACACGCAGATGGATCATACATAATCCCCTATACCAGAGGTGTCAAACTCGTGGGTTTTCAAGGGCCGCATTGCATTTTGGGAATTGTGCAAAGGGCCGCAAACAGCTTTTGATATATTTTGATAATGTATACTTAAAAGCATATTTTCAGATATGTGTAGTGTGTGACATATATTGTGATGCAATTAAATAGCCGAATGAAGTTGTTATTTTCTGAAATTTCAAATGGCATTTACATATTAATTTCTTGGTATTTCACTTATTATTGCAAATTTATTTATTACAAAAATTATTACAAGTTTTTTTACAACTATCCAAAACATTTTTGAACAAAGATTTGATAAAAGAATAATACATAATAAAAATGACTTAATCTAAATATATACACCTAAAATACTAACGAATAAACTCCCATGTTTTTTTTATTATATATGTCCTGACGTTTGGCATCTCTTTTGTGCCACCAGCTTACTAATATCGGGCTGAATTGATTTCACAGTATCAACTCTAATTAACGAGCAGGGGCGTAGCCAGGAATTTTCAAAGGGGGGGGGGGGGCTCTGAAATTTAGGTGTGTACGAAATGTCGCACAACCTGAAGACAGTATGTGAGCCAGGTTAGGGTTCAGGTTGTGCGTCATCTTGGTACGAATACTTTCGGGGCGCCGAGTTGACAGCAAAAGGTGGTCTGGCAACAGCAACAGGCCGGAGGCCTCAAAACGCAAGGTTTCTAAGAGAACTGAATGTTTCCCCGAGCATCAACTTCCTTGTTTACTTCGGGACATTGGCCAATCAGCAAAATGCAAAGAGTGACGTGTTTCGCATCCGCTCAGACTGATTTTCAGGCGTCGCCGTAAACATTACCACGTTTACGCGTTTTTGAAATCTATTCGTTAATTTTTAGTTCTGTTTCGGATATTTAAATGTAAATCAAATAATTTAATGATCACTTTGTCTTCTTAGAAGTTTCAGTTTAACTGCAGTAATAAAAAACTAGTGTAGAAATAGCTGCAATAGACTAGGCTAAAATTCTTCACCGGTACTTTCACAAAACAGATTGTTGAATGCTATGAATCAGAATAATGGTTTGAAGCAAAATACCCCATTTTACAGGCGCCAACTCGCAAAACCACTCTTTGAATAAGCACCGAAAATTTTGCGATGGTTAAGTATAGGAAAAAATTGACGGGGGTCAAAGGTCGGGGAAAGGTCCATAAATCGCCTTATTCAGTCACAATCACGTCGCTTCTACTTGACGGCATCCGGAGCCATAAAGTTTCATATTGGCATCACGTGGCATATGACCGCTTGGGTTATGATTTATATATATTGATTTTTAGTAACTAGGTAGTACGATAATTATAATATAAACACATAAAAATAAATGTGCCAAATTAAACAATGTGCTTTAGAATTTTGAGAACTACAGAAATAATGCAACCCCCTTTTTTTCGAAAATGCCAATTTCTTTGTGTACATTGCGTTTCATTTAGTTCCTGAGGTGTCGTTTTTTTTTAATTCATTTTCTTGCTAGCTTGAAGTGTATCCATAATTGAGTCAAATTGAAAATAAAAAAATTAATTTTTCAAAACTAGTTTTTGTAAATTGTCCTTTTTGTGTGTGAAAAATCAATTAGATAAAAATACTTACAAAATAATTACAATTATTGTTAAGCGTTCGAGGGCCGCATTGGAAGTTCTCCGGGGCCGCATGTTTGACACCCCTGCCCTATACTGTAATGGTAAATACGGCTGTAATGTATTTATATGGGATCATCTCAGATCGATGGAATACAAACAGAAAGTACTACATAGTACTCATAATAAGAGTACGTTTACCACCCCCAGCCAAACTCATTGATCCAGCACATTATAAGGTCAGATATCCGCATTTAGAGATGAAGCCTAATCAAGATATCACAAACAAAATGACAACATATGATTTGATCAAAACCTCAGCCAGTAGAGCGCTAGAACTTTATTTCAATATTCAAACATACTTTGACCAGATACAATTGCCGATAAAATGTTTAGGGTAATCGTTCTGGCTTTCGTATTTTTGAAAGTAAACCGTTTCGTCTGAGGAATTCGATCACAAATAATTTTATGCGCAAAAAATTATATTGTGTTGGACAAGAAATTGAAGAGTTGGTGCTTGAATAACAAACCTTAAAAACTTTGATCAGGTATTTTAAATGTTTTCTCGCGTTATTGCTTGCTTTTGGAGTTATTCCTCGGAGGGGATGTTTTTTGGCGGGAACTTTGTACAAAGGGTTCCCATCGTTTTATATAAATTGTTATTAATAGTTTCCAATATAAAAAAGTGGTGCTGACAAGCGACGTCCTATTTTCTATACTAGGATGCATTACAAGTTACATTGCATTATATTGTCGCATCTATAATATGGTAAATAATGGAGGATACGTACGCTAGTCACCTAAGTAGATTGGATAGTACGTTAAATTTAGATACATTTTGAGAAACTCGAGGCTATAATAAAATGCCGCGGCACCAGAACATGCAATGAAATCCAAATCCAAGAAACGATGAAAATCAGAGAGATTATGCTTTCGGATCATTACAAACCACATCAGCACGACAACACTGAAAGTCGAATTGAGTGACACCAGGCTAATCATATCGGCCGCGGAAATTCTCGTTTCTTTGACAAACGTGAACCACCCTGCGACGACGAAGAGTCTGGGACGTCTCTCGCACATAATTATCTTCACAGGATGCGCACCTGCTGACCCACACGGGGAAATCAGCGGTGCGATGCCAAATGTGATTCTAACGGTTAAACGGTTTACGATTCCGGCGCTACGAATTACTATCTAATCAGCTTGTTGCGTAGTTTTTAGGAAAGTCAGCAGTATTATCTTACGACGTGCTAAGGTCTGTGTTTGATTTGGAGCCTCGTTACTCGCACACTACCCAGTCCGGTTATCACTTTATCACAGCTTGAAGCAAATTATCCGTGAAGAACGTTAGGTCGTTTTCGTTTTCAGTGTATATAAGACAAGTAATTATAATATTGATATAAATCCAAAGACTGCGCTTCCCAGTTCTACGAATGACAGTGCAATTTATTTTATCCGGAATTGACTCCGCGTAGTTCCATGAGTCACAATCACTGAACTGGTCACGATGGGCTGAAAAGATTTATTTTGCGAGTGGCTGTTTTCTAAAAGTTTCGAAATTTAAATTTTTATATCTCAATATAAGACGATATTAGTGTTTAGCTCTTCCATAGTACGGGAAACTAAAAAAAAGAGATAAGAATTACCGGTAACTCTTTTGTAATATGTAGACAATACAATATAATAATAATACAATAACTCTATTTTGATTTCCCCCCGAAAAACATAGACGTACATGAAAAGTCTGAGAGTTGCGAGTCCTCGGGAATTCGAACCAGATCACGGTAACGAACGCGAACGTCTGAACGTTAGCGTATATTTTGGTAACTTTTTCTCAGTTCAGAAAGTTGCTGTAGTGAGTCACTACTAGTGACTACCCCTATTACTCAATAACGCTTACTCTGCCTTTACACAACCGGCTGGCCGGCACCATATGTAAATTTTGCTACAGGCAGACAGACCACTGGCCTATAGCAACTAACAGAACTAGTGTTTTTCATGTTTTTATGTATTTAGCCTTTTAGGCCTACTGAAACTATTTCAGTATTTACTGCAGTACTGTAAAAATTGCTGAATTTGATAGCAGAAGGGCTTTTTTCACATTTGCACACTCTTGTATTACAGGTATTTAACTACTAAAATATCAAAATAAAATAATGGATCAAGATTTACAAATCAAGGATAAGCAACTGAGGAAAGAAATTTCTGATTTTAAACTTGGAATCGCTAAAGATGCTGAAATTTTAGTCAATGAATTTTTTCCAAAGAAATGTATTGAACTAGATAAATTTTTAAAAGAAGATGTTTTACAGACTGAAAACGTCAGAAACATTGCACAAAAACTTGAAATTCCCATTCCAAATGCAGTTATTGTGCAAGACTTTAATAACGTTGATGGTCATGTTACGAGCCCCAAAAAACGTAAACTTGATGTAGGACCGGGAGGTGACATTGATGGTACCAAAGTATTTTCATTTGCTTGTGGTCCAGTGCCCTGCAATAAAAATCTAATAGCAATAATCGATCGAATAAAACCCGATATTCGTCTACTGATGGAAAAAGTTAATACTGTTCGAATGTGGGTGACTCATCTTATTCCAAAAATTGAAGACGGAAATAATTTTGGAGTCTCAATTCAAGAAGATACTCTTGCGGAGTTGAGACAAGTTGAAAGTGAAGCGGCTTCATTTCTAGATCAAATATCACGATATTTTGTCACAAGAGGTAAAATTATCACCAAAGTAGCGAAATATCCTCATGTTGAGGACTATCGTCGCTTTGTTGAGGAGATCGATGAGAAAGAATTTCTTAGCTTGAGACTTATAGTGTGTGAGCTGAGAAATCATTATTCCATTCTTCATGACTTGATTCTAAAGAATATCGAAAAAATCAAGAAACCGAGAAGTTCAAACATTGATGGAATGTATTGAAGTCTAAAACTTTGACGAGAGAGTATGATATGATCCAAAAAACTACAGAAAGCCAGGATATGATTGGACTCAAGATGGCTGGTGCAAGAATTAGTTCATCCTCTGTATTTGACGAGGCATTTTATTGAAAACATTTTTATTACGAATAAAAGTTCACCATGAAATTTTTTTAGCTTGGTAAAAAATTCATTCATCTGTTTTTATGCTTATGTGTTTTGAGCCTGTCTAATATTATCACAATTGCTGTTTCGCATTAATTTACTATTTTATTATTTCATTCAGTCTGCCATTCTTTGTGTTTTATCTGGCTTTTATTGTGAGGGTATTTGAATAAATTATTTGACAAACTATGGAATCAGGATGATAATACGCAGGTGATGGATATACAATGATAAAAAATATTGTCCAAATTCCAGTTGCTAAATTTAGGTGTATTGTTGAATTTAGGAGGTTTTGATTGTATCTTATTTTATTATCTGGTTCAATTATTGTTAGCTCTGAGTGTTTAAATCTCGTTATTAAATTGTCAATTGTATAGGATGCCCATTCAAATAAATTCTAATCCGTATTTATTCATAAAGCACAACTGTTGGTAATAAATGCCTTCCCTCCCCACTTGCAAAGACTTTGAAAGTGTTAAGATACTATTTTCCAATTGTTGGTTGTTGTAACATTAATAAGTGAAGCATCACTTAGAAGAAGACTCCTCTCATACTATTTAAGACTCTGACCCCTATTAGTCAATCATTTACTGATTACCAGTTATACAAAATAAAATTTGATTTCTAAATTGGCCAAATACATAAAACCTGTATTTGTTATAAGCCAGACCTAGTTAGATTACGACGTTATGACCATATCAAAATAAGACTCCCTGTACTATTAAGGACTCCAACCATATTAGTCAATCATTTACTAATTACTAGGTATACAATTTGATTGTTTATTATTAAATAAAATTCCAAATTTCCCAAATACATAAATTCTGTATTTGTTTTAAGTTAAACCCAGATAGCTTACGTCGCTAAGACCATATTGTTAATATTACTATACCCATTCCGATTTATAACCTTGATGGTTTTCCAATAAATGTATCTCGTTGTTAAACTGCCTGAATCATGGTACTGCATATTCCTGATTTCTGTATATTTATACCTGTTACATCTTGTCCTCTTCGATTTTGTAATACACGCCTGAAAAATTAGGATCTTTTTTAGAAAGCCCCTGACAAAAAACATCCCAGCGCTCAAAATAAAAAAATTGGTGATTATCCAATTACAATTAAAGAATGATAGAATTCATCTGTGAATTCAGCGATGTCAGGGTTAGCGAACCTGCAATTACCTAAAACAGGGCAGGTGAGGGTGTTGTTCTCAAGGTGGCGGGAGCTTTCTATAAAAGGTCCAAAAATTAAATTGGTAATATGGTGGGGATGGAAAAAAAGACCTATCTTTTCAAGCACCATTTCCACCAGGTCTGCACGGTCCGATCAAGTCTGCAACCTTGGATTCAGGATTTATGATAGAAATTAACTCTTGCTCATGACTTCGTAGTAGATTTGAATATGAAAACATTAGTAATTGTCGTATTTACTGTTTTGTATGTATATAATTATAATGGATTAGCATTGTATTCTGTGGTGTCTGAGACAGTCATTTTTTTTTCTTGTTATTTGTTTTTAGACGATTGTTTTGTAGTAGCTCCCAACCAGTGAAAAAAACATTGCTGAACAGCATACTATTTATCCAAACTGATTTACCACTGTATGTGGTTTGTAATTTATTCCATATTTGTTTAAATAAATACTGTAGAATTTCACATCGATTATGACGCAATAATTTTACATTAATGCTGGTTGCAATTTTAGAATTGGTGATAATTTTGATGGCTATTAGTGCGATTGTCAAGTTATGTAATGGAAGTGAACATCCTCATTAATTGAGTTCATCGTAAGTCATTATGGCACTGTTTTAAGTGAATATTCCTGTAAAAAAACTGACACCTGATCACGGACATGTTGGCCATTTCTGTCTTTATTTTTTTCTTTCAATTTAATGAATCAGTGATATTAATTCTTTGTACAGTCTGGTAGTTAATTAGATTGCCTGAAAGGGGTCAAGGGTCATAATGGGACCACCACCAGTTGTGACAGGAGTCTCTCCAAAATTTGGAACGCCGCTAACAAAGATCACAATTCGTGGAGAAAACCTTGGAACTAGTAAAGCTGATCTGATTGGTGTGTTAATATGTAATAAAGATTGCACACTTACCTCCGAATGGCAGTCAAATTCAAAAATAGTTTGTCGTACTGGTAGCGGTTTCGGTAAAGGAGACATCATTGTGTTCACAAAGTCTGGAGGAAAAGGATCATCCACTGTAGGGTTTACTGGTCTGCCACCTAAAAAAGTCGGCCCGCTGGAAAAATCTGCAGTATGGGTGGATGAGAGCGAATATGTGGACCAACGTCTCGATAGAAATCAGAAGCAAACTGCTTTGTCATTGAGAAGTGACCCATTGGGGCTTAATTCTGATGATTCTGTATCCAGGGCACCAAGTAATATGAATCTGCCAGAAATGTACCCAAATGGAAGCCCCGATCCAACTGATGAAAATTTTGTGCCGGCTTGGTTCCTTATTGAGCGACATTTTACAACATCGTTTAAAGAGTTAAAAGAAGGTCATACATACATGAAACGGCGAGCGAATAAAAATACAAACAATGCTCCACTGAATCACGTCAAGGACAGTTTACCGGTATTTTTTGAAGTGCAAGAGATGTTGTCATCAATTCACCAGAGGTATAAAAACTAAAAGTTTTTTTTTTCTTTTTTTGTTTTCTATTTAAAGGTCTAGTAATAAATTGCCTTTTTCTTCATTCTGAATTATTTTCTTTAGGGTTTGATGTGTTTATATTATAATATGTACCTTCGTAATATCAAGTTCATGCATCTGAAACAAATTACAAGCTATCTATACCCATATCCAACATGGACTGGTAACAGGATGAGAGGCCATGGTTTCGTTACGTCGTATCGACTTTTCTCTTCCCAAGCAAGAATATAAAAATCCTATTCTTCTATTTCAGGATGATTAAAGATGAGGCTGGAAGAAACAATGAAAACATCACTGCTAATCTTGAGAGTCTGTTAGCAGAGGCAAGTGAAAAAGCTGGTTTGTTATTCACCACTGTACTAAACAGTAAAGACCGAGCTGACTCGATTCGTAACACTCTTGGAGTTCTCCAACGATTCAAGTTCTTGTTCTATCTTCCATTGAATATTCAACGTAATATTGAGAAGGGAGATTACGGCGTCGTCATCAATGATTATGAAAAAGCAAAATCACTTTTTGCTGAAACCGACGTCAGTGTGTTCAAACGTATCTACGCCGAAGTGGAAGACAGGATTGCTAAATTTCGTGTGAAACTCCGCAACGAATTGGTCGAATTGCCTCTTCCGTTATATCGCCAGAAAAGTTTGATCCGCTATCTTCTCGAGCTTCATGAGCAAGGTGACCCAGCGTGGGATTGTCTCAATAATCAACACGAGTGGGTCCAGGGTCAACTACTCAAATGCAAAGATAAGTATTTGCTAAGAGCAAATAAGGAACACAATGCAAGCAGTGGAGATAGTTCTAAAACAACTGATGTTCCCAGAGAATTTTTGGAAGAGTTGGCTCAACTTGCTGTAAGTCAGATTCCAGAACACTGGCACCTATGGGAGCAATATTCCACTGGTAATTTTGAAATAATTTTTGCATCGAAGTTATTTTTATCACTGGTATCCTGTAAGACAGGCCTGCACAACATACGGCCCGCAGATACTTCTGTGTGGCCCGCGGGTGATTTGGAAACACGCCACTTCTCGGGTCTAACAATCAAAGCCGGCATTGTTATGCAAGCGCGACGCTATATCATATTCAAAATCGTGAGATTTATGTTTTGCACTAGTTTCAATAAATATCGAACTTTGTGTGAAATTGGTGTGCCCTTCTCGACCCCTAAAATTTGTCGCTTGACCCCTCGCCCCCCAGTTTGAAAAACCCTAATTTGAATATCTCCGTATTCAGACTGAATCACGCTTAAAACAATATCGGTATACAATCTCACACCCATCAGTGCATATTAGCAACCTATTAATAACCCCATTATTTTTTTACTAGCAGTTTATGAAGCTGAAGTTTCTTTTTTGTGGCAAAGTTTGCGGCCCGCCGGGCCTTCAAATTTATGCTTGCGGCCCTCGTGGTAATTTGAGTTGTGCAGGCCTGCTGTAAGCCTTTTTTGTCTTATTGAAACTAGTTTTGAAGCCAAGAATAGATAATAGAATATTAACTACCGTAATCATGCCTTATCACTTAAACCTAAAAATGTTGTAATATGGGACTTAATTAACTTCACAGTTTTTTAACCGTTTATCAATCTCATTTCCTATACAGGTATTATACTGAGTGAAACTGGTGAAAAATCCACCGATGTTGACAGACTTAAACAAATGGCATCAAAACATAGTAAACAAATGAAAGGCTTGTTGAGAGATACAGTGAGTGTAACAATATTTTTATAACTGTTAGAGGATTACTACTTGTACATAAGATAGATGCCACTCAAATGTTTATAGCACATTTTAAGGGTTTTTCATTTATTCAAGGGTTTTAAGACAAAAGGACAAATGTTGGAATTTTGATGAAAAAATTTATAGGTATTCCCTGATCACTGGTAAATATAGTTGAAGCAATATTTTCCAAAGTATTTCAATAAAAACTTACATGATTTCCATATATCAATATTTTTCTGCAAAATGATTCAATTCAAAATTTCAAAAAATAGTTAAGAATTGTAACAATTGTACATAGATGTGTATCTCTGCACTGCTTATTAAAAAGTTTATAAAAATATCATGTAGAATAATATACCAATACTTTTTATTTCAGATAATTCTTTTTGTTAATCTACTACGAGCTGCGTTCCTTCCTGCCACCTTGAATTTTGACGATGCTGATGAAGAAGACATGAAAGAAAGAACTTCTTATGGAATCTGGCCTAATGCTCACATTCCCGCAAACACTTTGGCAGAATGTGTGAGAACTGCTAGGTAAGGTCCAATGCAAAATATAAAAAGAATTCTAACCTTGGAATAACTGCAAAATCTGATCCATTTTCAATTTTTTTTTTTTCTTAGCAAATATGCATGTAGGGACGAGCAATTAATGCTAAAATTAATTCAGAATTTTGGGTAATTTTAAATATCCTACAAATATATTGTGATATCGTTCCCAGATAAAAGATTGAGATGTATTCAATTGCGCTTTCTCCCTCATACCATGAGTAAATAAAATAAGTATTTGGGTAAAGTCTGTTTTAACAGCAATCCAAATCCATTAGCCTAGTTGCTCAGAGTGACAGTATGACACAATTTTTTTTTCAGTATATCATTTTTTGCAGAACATTCTAAGGTTGCTGTTTTCCCTAATTTCTCAACTTTTTTTCTGTTTTTAGGAATGTACTGAGAACTCTCTCACAATTGAAATTGGCAGAAAACACTCTACAATCACTGGAAGATCTGATTCACGATATGAGGGTGTTGTGTTTGAGTTCTTCCATGCAAGAAGCCAGCAGTTCGATTTCCTTGTTGAAACGAGAAGAGAATTGGCAAGTTGATAAAACCGGTATCACATCTTTACCTCCTGCGTTTGAAAATCTTGTCAGTAAATTGATCGTTACGTTACAAGAAACCCTACAATCGCAAGGCAAAGAGGAAGGTGTATTCACACGTGAAGCAGTTCAATCTCGCGTATGTGAATTGACGACATCACTTTTTACAACTTACGTCTCTTGCATGGAGCAGCTGGCATTTAACGATGCCACTTCAAATGCCTCTGCCACAAGCACCAATGTCGAGCCACAAATTGAGAAGCCGGCACTCGAAAAGAGAATCATTATCGTGTTGAGCAATCTTCGTTACGCTAAATTGAAAATAATGGCACCGATGTTACAGTGTTTTCATGAGCTCTCCTTTCCGAAAATGCAGCAGACAAAGGAACAAGCAGAAAGTGCATTTGTAGATTTGGATGAAAGGCTTTTTGCATCATATCTGGAACACAGAATCGAGCCACTCAGTGCAACCCTGGAGCCAGGAATGTATTCTGGATATTTCAGTTGGACAGATTGCGTTCGACCTTCAGGTAACTGCCATGTTAACTATCTAATCAGATAGATTACAGGTTAGACCATGAGTGCACCAGTTTGTTTGATCCTAATTCTAGATCAGCTTACTTGCATTTTACATTTGGAATGCCCATATGTGCTCACTTGCTCTATTTTGAATAATTCTTGAGATGTTTCTGATATATTGTGAATGTGATGTTATTATGAATAAGGCATGTGCTTTCTCTCTATATACAGTTTTCTGGTACATTTCCTGTCTTTGTCACTTTTGCGTAAAAATATTTTTGAATTATTCCTATTTGTTTTCTCCCCCCCAGGGGTTCGACCATATATCAAGACGGCGCTGACAGGGATAATTACTATACATGCTGAAGTTTACACGATTTCTCCACAACTTGTAAAGAGAATTATACAAGAAACTATCAAGTCTTTAGCCGAAGAACTCCTTCGCCTTATTCAATGTGTTCAAAAGTTCAGTGCTAATGGTTCTCTACAGGTATTGTATAAACTTGGATTAAGTTCGTTTACAATCAAAAATTTCTTTTCACTACGTTCTAATGATAGCAGCCAAGTGGGGGCAGCCGTTAGTTATAGGCTTGTCATCATATTGTCAATTCCTTCACATGCCTTTTTGTCAAGAATTATTTAAATGAGTTTTTATAATTCTCCTGTATCATATGGCAAACTACAACCTATCAGGTGAAAAGTCTAGCAATCCTCTCATACATAATTATCACTCTTGGGATTAAAACCTGCGCAAGGTAATCAGAGAGGCTATTGTGCCCTTAACACACAATGTGCCACTTCTCTGATTTTCTCAATTCAGTAATTGGATTTCCCTTTTCAGGCACGACTGGAGATTCTTGCTCTACAGCAATCAACAATATTATACGCAACAGAGCAGTCCAATAAGACATTTGAAGATGCTTGTGCTGTTTTGCCACAACTAGGTAGCGGTGCTGAGAAAAAACTATTGGAAGAATTGTTGAATAGATTCAAGAGTGGAATGCTGTTCCATCTGAAGTGCTTGGAAGCTCCTATAGATGTAGAGGATTATGAATGAAAATATATCATGTAAACCACCTGTATCTGTGCAATAATATATTGAGGGTTTCAAGACTGAAGGGCGAATGTTGAAATTATCAAGTTTCGCCCTTTCAAGGAGGAGCCCTCGAATTGTTATGTCTGTAAAATGTTGATTCTTGCTTTGTTATCCTACAATATATTATATTATCTGGATTTGTTTGTTGAAATAATTTTGGGATCCATCCATATCAGCAGTCTATTTAGGAGGTCGAAATCTAAATCTTAAGGTGTCTGGAATATTAATATTCAGTTCAAAAACAGTATTTTGTTGTCCACGCTGTTGTTCTTGTGGTAATCTCGAGTATTTGGAGAGAACCTTTAGTCTTAGTGCAGCATCAAGTCCAGCTGACAAATTAGCATTACATTGGGAGATATTGTTAAATTATCAGTGGGACACAGCCAGAGACCTACCATGAATAGATTTCTGTGAACGTTGCCGCTTACATGATTATGGTGAATATCACTGGAAAATATATGCTCCAATGGCTAGCATTGGAAATTGTTTAAGAGTAGAACGAATGCTCCAGTAGAGAAGAGTGCTTTTCGGTTCTTATTCAACAGATCTTAACACTACCATAGGAACAGACAGATTAATTGGGATAGTTCTGAGGCCAGTTAATGCTCCGGCGCATGGTTTATTTTTATTTAATCTCAGTTATGCCCCAAAGTGCTCTTTGCCAAGTTTATATGAAAAGCAATTGCGGCAACATCAAATACGAAAATATCGGTTGGAAACCGAAGACTTATCGATCGATAGTTAGGGGATCCCCCAAAACAGAAACTGCAGTTTCGATTCATCCGCTCTTGTAACTTGCGCACTGCGCATCGCACACACACACTCTGCGGGTCTCAAAATTCTCTCGCTTTACAAAAATCTAGATCACTATATCAATAATTGATTGATAACTCGCTAATTATACGACATAATTCGCCCAAAATCAATAGGCTTCTGGTCCGAGATAAGATGAATGCACGTGCAAAATCTGGAGCAGATTCAATCTCGCTTTCGTGAGATATCGCGTGCATCTAACAGACAGACAAATACCTATCAACTTACTTACCGATTAAAATTGATAAGTAATAATAATCACATCAGAGAGATATTCCAGATCCACAGTTCATGAACGCAATTCATGAAAACTAACCAGTAAAGCACGTTAATGTGCCGCTTTTCAGTTATTTTCTGGTCCAAAGCCGGATAATAAGTCGGCACCAGAAACCACGCCAAAAAATTGGGTCCAGGGAATTGGCTTATTAGCTGGAAAATACAGTATATCAAAAAGGTAGACTTCAATATACCGTAATTTGCATGATTTATCTCCCATTTTTCAACAAGAGAAGTTCTCTGTACTGAAGAATTGATTACACTGTATAGAATCCACAATCCTCAATTTCAACTATCAAACGATTTTATTAATTAGAAAACTAGCAGACACATAGCAACAATGCAGAAACTGCTAAAACGGTTAAAAAAGTAAAAAATGCATAGTGCAGAAAACAACTGATATCAAAATGGCAGTTTTGGTTGACTGAGAAAAAGGGAGATTGACAAAGTAGGGCAGTGCCATGCATCATTGTGTTTTGATTAAGAATTGGGTAATCCACGTTTTCAAAGACATATAAATAGAAGACCTTATGAGACAGAGGTGAATGAAATAGCAGAAATTCAAAATTTTTCAATACAATGACGGTACATCACAAAGGCATTGTTCTAGGACCTTTTTTTTATTTTCCATTATCCGATCCTCATACTTTTGACAGAGTTATGGAATTCCTTTGTTCCTTCTTCATACAAAGATTTGACTTTCAATGCAAGATCATTCCTACCAGCTTCTGACAAACCTGTTGTGAACCTAAAACCAAAAATATTGTGATTCTGAAATTACACAAAATACGGTACTATGATTGTTACAGCACTGTTAGCTTGCTCATGTTTGCATTTTCAAATCCCAAGCTATTTTTTTTTACTAGACCTGGACTTGTAACCTCATAGGAGGCTGGATTTTGCAGTGTTGAGGAGACTTGAGATACAGTTTTTAAAGACACAAGTCACACAAGCGAGAATTTTGGTAGAGCCTTTAAAATATAGAGAATAAAATTTCGGTATGTATGATATGACACCCATACACAATGTTGTATTGGAAGAAAGCTGACTAGCTCGTTGCAGCAATAAGTCAGTTGATACTGATGTAAAGACAAAAACATACAACCTAGTCTGATTTTTGAAATATCGTTGTAACTTTGTGAAAGAAAAAGACAATTTATGAATGAATTAGAAATAAAAGCCCTGAAGTTTTATTTCATTCTTCTTCACTATTAAACTAAGCAAATAACACAACCTTTCAATACAATCTTCATCAGCTTTGTGCAGGTCAGACCAAGATTTCAGCATTCGAAAAATTTGTTCTGACAAATTTCCAGGATTGTTCATTTCAATTCTAAAACACGAATGAAGACAATTTCCAAAGGAACAAATTACAAATAAATATAAATAATAGGATAGAAGAAAAAGCACCGCCAACTGATTATAATCCTATACCATAAGTTATTATAATTCAAAATTATCAAATAAAAAACACTTGATACCATACCAAAAAAATATTTGGCTCATACCAGCTAGAGATGGCAGATCCAATATCATTAGTGTTTCAAGTAAATTTTACAGCATAAAATAGGGTAGTTGTTTTTATCACAAGGGTAAGCCTAATCATTGGTGCAACCGGAGCCTATCGCACCAATGAATAAATGACTAAGGAATAGCGAACCAGCTATTTGTTTCAGATGTTTGGAATGGATGAGGATGTAGTGATCGTCCAGGAGTTGAATGAACCAGTTTATTACAGGGAGGAATCCAATCTACACAATGCTTAACACAATGTACCAACAAGCAAGTTATGAATCTTTCACTGATTGGAACTGGCTTACAAATCGGATACGACAAATTTCATACTTGCATACCGGTCAAGTTGCGCAGAATTTAAGTCGAGGAAGGTTCCTATTTCTCTCCATTCTTTTCCAATATGATTTGAAAGATATCGTAAATTGTCTTCCCTGAACATTCCAGTTCCTTAAAAATATAAATTCATGTATCACCATAAAATATTGAGTTATTGGTTAAATATGCTACACTTTTAAGTCATCCTAAATTTATTGAAAAGCCTAAACACGATGGAAATGAAAAATAGTGAAATCATCAACACATAGTTATTTTTACTATTTCAAATTACAATATGCATGTACCTAATCCTCCATAGTCCAAGTCCATTTGTCTGCTTTGATTGATAGTTGGATCTAATCCATCACCCTTGAAAATATATTTTCAAGGTAAAGTCGTTAGGTCATGAGTTTGAGCATTGCCTTGTACAATAGTAAGGCTGTAATAGTAGGCTGAAAGCTTTGCAAAAGCAGAAAATAGCTCGGACATTTGCAATTTTCCTGGAAGCCCGAAATTATGATTATGATGGAAAGATTGGTAGGTGAATGCAGCCCTGGCTAAAAAAAACAAGGCCAATGCTGTCTTAACTATCACTAAATGTGGAATGTAATTTCCATATGTATGAACATAACAATAAAACCCCAATAATCATTCTTACTTGCAATACAATAGGAATATCTCCTAAATGATTGTCATCATCAAACTCATCACCAGAGTCGATTTCAATAATTTCTTTTCTATTATTACTTGTGTTATTGATCACTAAATTATTATCCCCAGATTCTGCTTTTCGTTTCTGCTTCGTAATTTCAGGAGGCGAAAATGATGGTAGGTCTTTTCTAGCAGCTATTTTAGTAACTGCAACATTAAATAAAAATTGATGAAAAAGAGGCGCTCCAGAATTATGTGTACCAATATTGAGTAACTAATTTTGTTAGTCTATTTTACATCAAGTTGTGTGGGGCTGAAACCTACGGGCAGGTGGTATATACACTTGGCTTAACAAAGACAGTCCCCGAACTCGTAATAGAACTAAAATATAAAAAATCGGAATCAAATTATGACCTAACCCTAACCTGGTACACAGACGAGGTGCGGCTAAAATGAAACGGGACTGACGTCACAGATTGCGCAACACGATTAACCATCGGTAATCAACACTTTTGCAGTGTGGCATAATATGTGTTCTTTGTTTAACAGCTGTTTTGACACAATATCGCAATTATTTTTGCTTTTCAGGATCCATAAGTGAATGTGATAAATTTCTTGTTGAAAAAAAAAGCTGTGCGAGGTCTGATTGAGTTTTTTGGCGATAGGGGGTTCAATTAAAGAATGATGACTTAGCAAAGAATTAACATTAAATTTTGTGTCAAACTTGGAAAAACGGCGACTGAGACTTTGCAGATGTTGCGTGATGTTTATAGAGATTCTCCCATGTCCAGAACAAGAGTTTTTGAATGGCACAAGCGATTTGTGGAAGGCAGGGAGGATGTGGAGGATGATCCGAGGTCAGGGAGGCCTTGCACTTCCACTACTGATACCAACATCGAAAAGGTTTGGCAGTTGGTTCGCAGTGACCGTCGCTTAACAATTCGCGTCATTGCCAACAAAACTGGGATGGACAAAGAAACGGTCCGCACCATTTTGGTTGACACTTTGGGAATGCGGAAGGTGTGTGCCAAAATGATGCCAAAGGCTCTTGAGTTGCCTGAGGAGCAGAAAGCTCAACGATTGAATGCAGGCCGAGTTGACATGCATTTTTCCAAGTTTGGCACAAAATTTAATGTTAATTCTTTGCTCAATCCTCATTCTGCAATTGAACCCCCTATCGCCAAAAAACTCAATCAGACCTCGCACAGCATTTTTTTTCAACAAGAAATTTATCACATTCACTTATGGATCCTGAAAAGCAAAAATAATTGCGATATTGTGTCAAAACAGCTGTTAAACAAAGAACACATATTACGCCACACTGCAAAAGTGTTGATTACAGATGGTTAATCGTGTTGCGCAATCTGTGACATCAGTCCCGTTTCACTTAGCCGCACCTCGTACTTGAGGAGTACAGCTTTCTGCATCAAAACTGTACTTGATCAAAAATCCCAGTCCTTCCAAAATCCTTACATAACAACATCTTTCTGTCTAGAACCTTGTTTGGAGCAAAGTACGGAATATCCCATTAAAGTACCATATTCACCTTTTTCTTCTTCGTTGTCTACTTTATAAAAGGAAACAAATCCAGTGTGAAATTTTTTATTTTCTTCTCTTGATTCAATGAAAAATCTGAAGACAAATTGAAGACAAGTGAATAGCACAATCTATGCGAAGCGCTCACCATCGTATAACCTAATAAATGTCAAATTGTACTAAATAATATTCGAGAAAAAATAATCAGCAATCCTTAGTGCACACATAACTATTCTCAATAAAAATGACATCAACTTGGTTTTAGACGTGAGTCAGATTATGTATATTTAATCCGGGTGAAAGGAAATCAAGTAAAGTGGCTTAATCATATTGTGAACCACAGCCTCTCGTCAGTTACCAAACTATCTTGTGTTACGGGAACAATTAACCAGTTATTTATTTCAGTTGCATGGACTCGATAGTGGAGGAAGTGTTATTCGACCTACGGTTGCGTGAACCACCCTTTAACACAAGGGGCACACATAAATCAAGCTATTCGACCATAGTATTGCGAATTAAACTACCCATTTTGAAAAAAATGCGACCTAATTCAAGGTATAAATTGACGATTGCTTTCTACTATGATATTTACTACTGAGATGGATACATATAAAGTAAAGAACGCCTACCTAGAAAATCCCTTTTTATCAGGAGGATATTGCGAAAAGAATCTGCAGACTACAAGTTTTTCTTGAACGTGTTGAGCAACTTTTTCTTTAAATGTTTGCAGTTTGACATCCCCAATTACCTGGATATTACAGTGCATGGTTACAAACTAAAAAAAATCTCTAAAAAAAACTTAAATATGGCAGGTGTTGTATGATGAAGTCTTTAATTTATTATGCGTTGTTTGCAAATAAATTTAAAAAATAAGACAAATATTCTATACCTTCATTTTAAATACAGCACCCTCCATTATTTCTTGCACTGGAGTTACTGAATCTTCACCAGAATAACCAGATTCCGTCAGTTGCTTTACCCGTTCAGGAACTTTCTTTTCAAGCACACATTGTGCAAGTACTTGGGTTGGCAATGAATGTTTCTGTTGAACAATTTCTGGGTAAGTCGTTTTCAAGGAAAATCTATTCCACACTGGGGAATACCCCAGACATCTACTAGAAGGAGTGACTAGTTAATATAACCTCTAGTGGGCTAAAACTTGGATAATAATCATCCATGAGATTGATATTTGTTGGCAAGTTAAACATTACACAAATTCTGAGAAGTACTAAAAAACAAATATGTACAAAAGCCCCACGAACCATGACTAATATTGACATTGTTAACAATGAAACTACAGTTCCTCTTATCATATTGTAAACAGAACAAAATGCCCAGTGAAAGTTAGTATTTTAAATATAATAAGAGATAGAGCTGGCAACCTAAGTTATGAAGATCCCTTACGAGTTACTCAGTCAGGCTGACATGCGCCATGGAGCATTTATGAAAATAATGTTTCCCATGTAAGGTGATCAAAGGTTGTTTCATTAGTGACTATGTTTTAAAGGCTCAGTGTGCGGGGACACTGCTTCAAAATTTGATGTGACTTGCATGTTATTTATATTTATCTTGGGTAAAGCAGTAATTTAAATAGAAACTATCACATAACGATAGTTACATTAGAGCAGAGTCTTTCAAACCCATAGTCACAATCAAAGAGGATTGCTAGGTACATTTTGCAATTACCGGTACTACGTTAAATAAATTGACTGAGACTTATTTATTTTTTGAATGTAATGCATGTATTCTTTGGCTTTCGTATGATTTTTTAATATCAACTGCGGTGATTACAATAACTGATGAAAATGCGTTGGAAGCAAATCTCGATTTTTTCATAGATAAGCAGCAGTGTTGAGTTATTGGATGGGGGTCAATTTTTCATTGTTATTTTTAGTGCATCTTCGTAAAATTAAGTACATTAGTACTAACTTGATTGATACTAATGTCTTGTCAGAGGAATATCAAACATTTAAAATAAGTTGTGAATTTGATCTGCTCGTTAATTATTGAAAGTCAAATTATTTCAGAATGGACAAAGATATTTCCTTAACGGTTGTGTACACAAAAGAAATACTATCGACAATCAACGAAATGAGAAAATCAGGATTTACATGTGATTTCTCAATAAAAGTGGCAGAAAAATCATTTCCTGTACATCGTAATGTCATCTCAGCCGCTTCTACATACTTTCGTGGTATGATATCACACCAAATGAAAGAAAATTTGGAAGGATTTGTACAGATGGAAAATGTTGAACCATTAATAATGGAAATGTGCATTGACTTCATGTATACCGGTGACTCCAGCATGTTGACACATGAAAATGTGGAAGCAATACTCCATGCCTCAAACCTGATGCAACTAAATGCGTTGACACAAGATTGCTTCATGTACATGCAAAACAAAATTTCAACTGAAAATTGTCTTCAAATTGTTACTTTGGCCAAGTTTTATGACAAGGATGATGTGAAAAAGTATGCGGAAAAGTATGTTCTGGCCAATTTTGAAAAAATCATTCTCACTGAAGCTTTTGATAAAGTAAGCAATAATGACCTAATGTTTTATATGAAGGGATTGAAAAGAACAAATTCGTCTGAGGCAACCAAGTGGAAAGCATTGTTAAAATGGGTGGGATGTGATCCTGAAAGAAGACAGAAATTTCCACAATTATTCTGCTTGATAAAATTAGAACGTATACCGTCAGACATCGTTAGCAGAAAGATTCGAACAGATCCCCTTGTGAAAGGATCTACTGAGTGTTTAAACCATGTAATCGATTCCATGGAAAAAAGGGGTGAATCACGATCACGCTACAGTGACCAATTTCAACAATATCAACAATACTACTAGTAACTTCAAATTTTAACAAACCTGCATAGCTAGAAACTGAACTTTATGAGTCCTGAGACGTCTGTAAATATAACGAACAACTCCACAGAAAATTTCTGTGACAAGGACAAACCTAAAAAAAAATTATGTTAATGAGCTGATGTAATTGACTTATGTATATCTGAAAAAATCTGCGAAGGTTACAGGATTAAATCTGTGTATTTCTGCAGCAAGACTCTTGAATCACTTAGAACTGGGGTTCGCGGATCCCTGGGGATCAGTGATGTATGCACAGGGGTTCAGCAACAATTTAAAAAGAGTCTTGAATGATTGATTTCAAACAAAAAGCTATGGTACAATTTTGGGACTGAGCATTGAGGATGAATATCTTCTATTGCTGTCCCTGTCAGAAATAGCAATTGAAATTTTATTATATTTTGCAACGACCTACATGTGTGAGACGGCATTTTCAGCTCTTAGCAATATGATGACAAAATACAGGTTGAGACTAGTCGTGGAGTTGGACCTACAAGTTTGTTTGTCACAAATTGAAAAATTGTGCGGTGAAAAGCAACCTTATCCATCACATTAATGTCGTTTGTGTTGTTAATGAAACATTATCCTTCCGTGTTGGTTAGGCACAGAAATTGACACGGCATAGGATAGGGGTCCGTCTAAACCAAGATTCACAAACGGGGGTCTGCAGCCCAAAAAGTTTGGAAAACCCTGACTTGTAATATATACTATTGCATAAAATGGAAAAATCCCAACAATACTATGAGATGTGAACCTATGGCAGCATTAAAGAATGACCAATGTCCTGCACACTAGAATCAAATTTGTATTTTATTTCTCAAAAAAAGTTTTTAGCATAAGTAAAACCATCCACACCGGTACTAAAATGCCAAATATCAATAACATATATAAAAATTCAGTTCAAATACTGTTGTGTTTTGGATTTGCTGACCTATCAATTTAATTTCTCTTACTTGGAGAATGAGTGTACTTGGAATGAAACATCAACGGCAGAAATATTGAGTGGGGTCGCATGAGTTACATCTTGCCACTCGATGGAATCATGAGCACATTTCATTAACTTCAATGTGTTGTGATCGAATTCCTTTCCAAGCTAAAAAGTGGAATCCAAATATTTTTTTTTATTTATTTCGTTTTTAATGATAAATTTTGTTTGCAAATTAATGAACTTGACAAGTATTTTCAATGCAGTCAAAATTCTAATGCAATTCAAGTTATCATAAATAATAGGAGTTTCACCAGAGAAGAAGGCTTGTCATATGGTGAACCATGGCCGTTTTACAGCTCTACCAGTCCAAGTCGAGTATGTGTTAGTTTAGCAGTTATTCGTTTGAGATGCATGGACTTGATGGTAGAAGATATAACTGACCAGCAGTTATGTGAATCACCCTGCAACTTCGGAGAGTCCCAACAATTCTTGCATATAATTATACACCACAATATTTTTAATAGCGCAGAGTAATCATCGATGTGATGGCAAGTGTGCACCTAGCGCTTGGGGTATTTACATCCATGAAACAATAATGGCAACTCACTAGTTTATCTGGTAATGCAAGACGAACAATTACAGGTTTTTTGAAAACAGTTTCGGGTGGAAACACTTGAACAGATAAAATACAACTTGCAATTGCAGTTTGACTTTGTGAGATTTCTTCAACAATTGTCGAATCCATGTTGATAACCTGAAAAATATCACAATGTTATTGTTTATCAATTCTCGTTCTTAAACATTCACAAAATTAGCAAAAACTGTACACGGCAGAGAAAGCAAGCAAATGCATCATACGCTCAGGTTTTGATCCCTATTTGCACCCTACATAGCCGAAAGCTGCTTTCTAAACCAGCGGAGAATAGTCTATAACAGATGACACAGCGTTAAAACTTCCTACAGAAGGAAATTTTCCATTGATACACAGCATTTATCAGCAGTGAACAGATCAACGAGATAATACCTCTGTATCAAGTTTCATTCAGGCATCCCTTTTAATCTCAACTTATTGACGTCAAAATACTTTTAAAAAGTTCATAAGCATTAATCCAACCTTCATAGTAACTTTGGTACCATTGTTCACAGATCCTTCTTCAAATTTTAATTTTGTTCTTGGAAAAGCGGGAGAAAAAAGAAGATGTTGACTGTCCTGAAAAGTTTGAATAATATAAGAAAATAATATTCAAATAGCAAATAAAAAATATAGAACAGAAAAAAAAGTTAATACAATGCTTCTGCCCATCTTTCGATGCTATGAAATAAGCCATGTACAGGCAGCCATTGATATCTAACGATAGGTAAAAAGCTGAAGCGGAAGGACCTGATTCTTTCCAGTTTAGTATCACCTATCCAATTTATTACACCCCAGATGAGATGAGCATTTAATTTGAACCTGTGATGTGTAACTGACAATGCCAACACAAGTCCAGCGCTTTCACTGCAAGACCACCATGTCCTCAAGAGCATTGAAGGAATATGAATGAATTGATATAGATTTTTAGGCATGAAGATAAAATATTGTAAAATCATACATTCTTATTTAGCTTAACATGTTTAGCAGAACATCCAAACCTATTGGATATAGTACAAAACAGGGTCACAACACGCACGGTGACACTCAAGAGTGGAATACTCCAATATTGCCAAAAGTTGAAGGTTTAATTTTAAAAATCAGATCACATCATGGTCTTTAATAAAACTCCAACAATCAATTTTGAATATACTGTTGCCTCAGAGCTTGGGCCAAGGTGATTTCAAACCTCAGCTTAGTTTGCCATATGTCCAAACCATCTTCGATAAAACCATACCCGTGCTTTTGCAATCAAAAATTACCTCTTGTAAAATTGTACTAGCTTCCATTACTCTAGCTACAACACCAAATAGGCAAAAATGTGAGGTATATGCTTCGGCAATGTTCATGTTTCGTTCTCCATTGTTTTCTTTTATTGTTTGAGTTCTGTGAAAAAAAATTGTATTTGAATAATTTCAGACAAAAGTCAAGCAAGTACAGTATTTCACAACTTCTCCCCCTTCATAACTATTTTTTTTTGTGGAATATGTTTCCAGCGTTGACTTGAAACTGAGTTCTGCGAGATAAATAATTGAGTCAATCGGTTCCTACAGGGCTCAGGTCAACAAAATTTACACTCCCAACTCCAGGTTAATAGTAAATTCGATTACAGACTCCCAGAAAATCGAATTTCGTTAATAAAAAAAAAACTATGTCGTATGCAAGCTTTCTTTAATAGACTGTTAGGATTGCTTCACTTATTTTTTTTTTGTGGAGTTTGAGGAAAATTTCTACCTGAATTATCATTATTAGAAATTCTAAATTTTAATCCCAACTATTTTGAAAAACGATAAGTCAGTAAAATTTTTTTTCTGGGGTCAAAGGTTAAGGAAACATCTTCTATGACATAAGGTTCAAGATCATATTATGAAACTTACTCTAAATCTTCAGTAGAGCCATCTGCTGACATCACCCTGATTACAATCTCCCTTGTTTGTTGGTCATGTCTCTCAAATGAGTAGGGTATTGATAGTTTGATTGGCTAAAATAATATTATTACTTTGAACTTAAAAATTTCAAATCACTGAAACTAATATTGAAGCTGAGGCCTGAGGGTAATGAATTGAGACTTCAAATTGTCATAATGTTAGAAACTTACAACTAGCGATACAAAGGACTAAATGATTCCAAAGCATCTGGAAGATCTAGCTAATTGGAAACATGATAATATAGTAACTAGCCTGTCGGTTCAAATACTGTGGAATCATCCGATACAAATAATACCAGGCAAAATAATTCTATACCCAACATGGAATGCTAACCAGACAAGACGCTGTGGTATGCCATATGATCTAACTTATCTGCTCTCCTCTTTCCCCGGGCCACCATAAAAATCCTATCCTATCATAGGTAAGATAAGGTCATCAGTAAAATTCATGTTAAAAACATGTTACAGGGAAACCCAAAATTTTTTTTTGAAGTAAACAAAAAAGTTGAATAACTCACATTATCAAAAGTCAATCCGTCCGGAGAGAGTTCTAATACCCCACTTAGTAATACATCCATGTCCTCCAGTCTGAAGTCAACATCAGCATCAGGAACAAGCTAAAATTGTTGAATCAAACTTAAAATACAAATGAACCTTCTATTTTGATAGAAGTGAACAGAGAGAAAATTTACCTGAGAATACAAGATAATATTAACTGCACAAGCATTCTTTGGCACAACAATATCGATTCCGCACGGGAGTTGAAATTGAGCTCCTGTTTCTATTTCGACTTTCATACAACAAGTATCATTTTCCATTGCAAATGCAGGGACTTTGTAGAAATCCAGCAGATCCTGAAATCACCTGAAGGTTAGGATTGGTTTGAAATTCCAATAACAATTTTTTTTTCAAATATGAGACAAATTCAGAATGAACTTTTCACAAAGTATAAATCAGTGGTTCTTAAACTTCCATTATTTATTGCCACCCGCTTCCAAAGGGTCTCGTGGTCATTCCCTAATATTCAATGAAAATAGTTTTGATTTTGAACGTTGAAAAATTAAATAATTCAGGAAATTCCAAAAACTGTGTCACCAAATGTCACAAAGAGAGTTAAGATGAAAACTATTTTAAGTTGAACTGGCAAATGGTACTGGTAATTAGATTGGTGACCCACAAGAGAACTCTTCTGAACCCCCTCCCCCAAGGCTCTGTTTGAGAAACCCGAAGTAAAACAAAAAATCGTGTAAATGTACCGTATCTATACTGCGTGTATACTAGATATTCTATAAATTTAACTCGATAGAATATGCATAATCATGTATTGGAACAGATGGAAAAAATATGTAATTTTTTATATTTCCCAATTATTTAGAATCTAATATACATGTTATTCTATTGATTCCGACACTAAAATTACTCACTCTGTCTTCTTTTTTCGGGGAATTATATCCGATGGGATTTCCATCCAAAAGTATGAAATCTTTTTCAATCAGCAGAGAGGAAACGATTCTTATTTTATTGAAGCGGAGATCAAGACAATTCAACGAAGTTGAATTAACAAAGTCAGCATCAACCGTAACTGAAATTAGATGATATGTAAAATATTGAGGAAATAACGGAGACTAACAATTTAAAAAAGGTCCATAAAGTCACTTTGTGTCTAAAAATATAATGCTCAGCAAATAACTGCCTAACTGGTCAAAGCAAGCTATAAAAATGAATACAGACATGATAAACTTTCCATCGAACTTACCTATTTCATTGTTTCTCAGTTTCAAACTTTTCAAATTTCTCCAACGTTTAGAAGAAGCGACACAGCCACCAATCAAATTTTCAGACAAATCCAAGGTTGACAAGTTTTGTAATTCGAATAATGCTAATGGAATTTCCGTAAATTTATTATTTGACAAATTCAATACGTTCAGGTTTTGAAGTGAGAAAAAACTTTCTGGCAATGTTGACAATTGATTTTCTTTCATGTGAATTTCTTTCAACATCGACAAGACACTGATTTCAGCAGGAATCTCTTTTAAGGCACAAAAACTCATCTGTAATCTTTGTAAATTTTTCAAGTTTAAAATCCAAGCTGGAAAAATGTTAATGTCATTAAAGCTCAGATCCAGATAAGTTAAACATATCAGCTTTTGCATGTTCCTTGGAAGGTTTGCAATATCCCCTTTAATAATCTTCCCATTGTTGTCCTCTTTTCTACCTTTATAAACCAAAGTTTTCAATCTCGTTAGTTTCAAGATGGAGCCCAAGATTGTTTGCAATTTTTCTTCAAATCCTGTGGACGGCAGGTGCAGGCTTTCAATGTTTTGTAGAATTCCATTTCCAGTTGTTTTCATGAAATTCTTGAATGATTCATAACACTCCAATGTATTTGTTGAAATAAGATTGATAGGCAGCCGCCTCTCATACTTTGCAATATTAAGGAGAACGTCATTATTCATCTCATACTAGGCAAAAAGCAGAGGTTATAAAAGTATATAAGAGTTAAGATATATTGAAATGTACACAATGTTATATATACAGTGTTTTCCGAAAGGGCCAATGCTTCAGAGAACTAAATTTTTGTTTAATTGGACAGTGGAAAAATATTGAAATATATATTTTTTACGAGAATTTTTAACAGTGGATACATGAAACTGTCTCATATGACTATAAGATGAAAATATTAATTTCGCATGTATTATTTTTTCGATTCAAAAAACAACACTTTTAACATTTTTATGTGGAAAGCATTAATATGAAAAATCATCAAAAGAGCTACATTTTAGATATGCATACAATATAGCATAAAACTACAAAAACTAACAGATTTTCTGGCTATTAAGTCGCTTTTGGACCCAATTTTTTTGCCTGATTTTGGGGGGTGTCTTATTGGCTGGCTGTGCTTAGTTTATTTTTTCTGGTATCGGCATGTTGGAGGGCTATAAGGAAAAAAAACCTTTTTTAGTGCTTAAAAAAGTCTTATTTGCCAGGCAGACTTATTAGCCAAAAATACGCTAATACAAAGAAACACATTGTGAGCAATGAATAGTGCAAAAATAAATAAGGTAGTACCAGTAAATGAATAACATCATATTTGCAATATTTATTTGCAATATTCAGGGACTATAGGTATATATAACTGTAAGGTAACTAAAAATTAGCAATATTTTTCATCCCCAAATAGGAATCATCAACATGACGTAAAAACCAGAAGTTTGCATGTATTTTTTAATAGTGGAGTCGGAGTTGTTTTTCCAAGCATTTCAAAACTATAATGATAACAAATAACAAAACATTGAGTTGACTCAAAGTTAAAATTTTCTGTGGTTGAAAGTTTTACAATGGACATTGGAACTTTCAATCAAAACATCAAAGTAGGTCATTTCACAATATATCCACTACAATCTTTTTCCTCTAATCACTCAGTGGATATGACATTCTATTCATCACATACTAGGCCATGTTTTCACCATCAGCCATATCAATTGAAGTTTCAACGTTAATTCCACCAGTGACAGGTAGCAAAGGTGTATGTTGGCTTGATTCATCCTCTGGCAACGATTTTTGCTGAGTTTCGGCATCCTGTTGTGTTCCTGTTGGCTGTTGAGTCTGATTATCAGACTCTGTAACTGTATGTCTAGAAAGCTTTCTTTTCATGCTTTCCTCAAGTTTAAGCTTCAATTCTTGTCTAGTATCACGGTGATCAATTTTGTTCAAAGCCCACATGGCAGGATGAGATTGTCCTGGTTCTGAGGGAATGGTACAATAAAGCATGTGCTCAAAAACATTATTGAAAGGGATCGGCTTAGGAAATTTGATGAGAGTGTCAATTCTCCTAATAAAAATTTTCAAACAAGAATGTAAAGCTGAATTTTTGTTTTTTTCATCAACATCAAACTCATCAACTCCACATTCAAAATGGTGAAGATTCGTAGTTGTTTCAGCTATGTAGGAGTTCAACAAAGTTACAAAAATATTCCATTGTTTTTTGGATGCCAAGTACTTAGCAAAGTTTTTGGCATCCGTATCCCAGTGAGTAAATCTGTAAGAAGAAATTTCCTCTATTATCATTCTTTCGTGAAAAAAACACTCTTCAGCATCTTTTAACTTATCAGAATCCAACTGATGTTTCTTTGAAATTCTGCTTATTTCCATTTGGCTGCAACTTGGAATAGACTTATCTCCCTCACTCGCCTTTATCAATTTCTGTAGTTCTGTCAACTTTTGTTCAGCAAGATGAGGATTCTTATCAAATACCTCTTTGACAAAATCTTCTGCAGACGCTGTTTCAATACTACCGTGAACGTATTTAGGTCGTTTATCCTTCATAGCTCTGAGAAGATTCTCTGCAGCTTTGAAATAGTCTTCCGACAGAGCATAATATAGAATAGACCTTGAATCGATATGAGAATACTTTTCCAATTCATCCAAATTTAGGTTTAAACTTCTAATATATTCTTCATTTTCAGACACTTCAGAGTTTAGGCAGTTGAGAATCGCAACCAAAAGCGGCCAATGATTATGTTCAACAGCTATTTTTATCAAATCCTTTGTTTCAGAATCCTTTACAGAGCACTGAATATGCTTCAAACATTCAATGATGTCCTTTATATCCACATAACCATGAGTATATTTGTTTTTATGAATAATAATACAAGCCAGGTTTTTCATTACATGTCGCTCTCCACCTTTTCGCATTTCACAATACATTTTAATGTAATGCATATTGTTAGATACCACAGCATTACTAAGCTGTGATTCCATTTTGTCCAACGATTCTTTGCTAAAAATATGTTCAACAAAACTGCAAAATGTACCTGACGGAGTTGGATCTGCACTTTTCCAGAAATTTAACATGAAATGACAAAATTTGTATGCTTTTTTTAAATTTTCACCGTGTATGTGATGCACGTTGATATGAGCTTTAATTATACCTACAGTACAAAACGCTATCTGACAAAATGCAGCAATCAAGTACAGTATAAAAAAGGGTATAAGTTGTCTCCTTATGTTGAAAGAACAAAAATATATCAGGGGGTCACCACGTCCATGAACTTCTAAATGATAGTCCTCAGTAAGAAAGCAATGGAAGCGATCGCCAGATCCGAATAATTTCTCCAATGTTACAATTGAAAAACATAGCGATCCGGAATTAAGTAGAAGGGAGATGCAATTCCTTATAATGTAATGTGTAGAAACAGTGATTTCGCATTTATAGCCAAACAAGAGTTCATGAGCTGTTCGAAGTAGTGGCAAATCCCCCTTGATCACATCAACTGGTTCAGTAACCAACTGTTTTAAATCTTTAGTCTGATCAAGGAATGATGAATGCCTTTTAAACACATCGACTGGTTCAGTAACCATGGATTTTGAATCTTTATTCCGATCATGAAATTCTTTAATGATGGTCTCCACTTCTTTGAAAGTGTTGAATGAATTTATGATGGCAGGCAAATATAACCAGTAAGAGGAAGCAATCAACAAAGATGCCACAAATGCCAACAATATTATCCCACCATACGAGACAAACCATGGCAATTGGTTGATACAGTAATTATTCATTAAAGAGGTATGTGCTTTTGTGGGCTCATATGGGACACTTACATTCTGTGACAACGGAACACAAGCTGTGGATGTAGTCAACGTAAAATAAAACATGAAGAGCGATGATGCAGCACAAGCTGCATAACAATATCCTCTAGCCTTTTCCCACCAGGGTTTCATGTTTATATCCGATAACAAATCACCCAATATGAAGTCACTCAACCCAAGCACAGACATTTTTAATATTTAGTACAGATATTTATTTTCACCAAACTAACTAAAACCTGTCAGTATGAAAATATGTATAAGATAAGATCAATTAGATGATTCTTCAATTGTGAAACATAGTAGCACCACTCAAGCACAGCACTAAAAAAAAATGCAGACCTGATTAGTGATCAAGTACAAAATACAGAGTAGGTATACCGGTACCGATTTGCGAATCTGCAATTGAATATCTGATAGTCCAAACAAAATTACACCAACTTGGAATGGTGTCTAAGATACAGAACGATACCGGCTCTTTCAAGGCATAGTAACTCAACTGTAAATTTTGCTGCAAGATTTTCAAGTTTAAAATCCAACCTGGTAGAATGCAAATACAATTGAAGCTCAGACCTAAATAAACTACTGGTAAACATGTCAGCGTTTGCATATTTCTTGGAAGGCTTGCAATATCCCCTTCAATAGTCCTTTCATTGGGATCCTGTTTTCTAATTTGTAAACCAAAGTTTCAATCTAGTCAGTTTTAATATGAAATGGAAGATAGGTTGTACCTTTTTACAAATCCCAAAGATGGCAGGTGCAGGCTTTCAATGTTTTGAGAAATTTCATTTTTAGTTGTTTTCATAAAATTCTCAAATAATTTATATCACGCCAGTGTATTTGTTGAAACAAGGTTGATAGACAGCTGTCTCTAATAATTCACAACATTAACTAGAATTGTTCATTTCATACTAAAAAAAATTAAGGTTATAAAAGATATAACAGTTTAGTTAGATTGATATATACACAATGCTACATATACAGTTTTTTTTCTAAAGGGGACAATGCTTCAGAGAACAAAATTTTTTATAATTGGACAGTTGATAAATATAAAAATACATATATTTTTGGAATGAGCATTTTTAATGCAACAGTGGATATGTGAAACTGTCTCATAGGACTATTAGATGAAAATATGAATTTCTAATGTACTATTTTTTTGATTCACTTTTAACATTTTTATGTGGTAAGCATTAATATAAAAAATCATCAAATCAGCTACGCTTTAGATATGCATACAATATAGTAAAAAAAAACTACAAAAACTAACCTAGTTCCTGGCTATTAAGTCGCTTCTGAACCCAATATTTTTGCCTGATTTTGGGGGGTGTCTTATTGGCTGGCTGTGCTTAGTTTATTTTTTCTGGTATCGGCTAGAGATGTATCGGGTATCAGCAATATCAGTCATTTTTTCGGTATCGGCCATGTATCGGTATCGGATAGATTAAGGCCGATATTTCCGATATATTTACCTTTTTGATTTGGTCCAGAATGTTTTAAAAGATAAGTTGGAATACTACTTTTCAATTTTTTTTTTGTCTGGAGAGATCGTGAGCTATGAGCCATACTTGACCCTACCCCGCGAGGGAATAGGATTCACCTGTTTTTAGCTATTCATCAGTCAAACTAGCTTAACTAATTTGGCTATTTTCGCTGTCAAATTTTTATATTGACATTTTTAATATTACATAGTAATTATGAAGAAATATAGAGGCGCCCAGTTTTAAATCATACAGTGGAATTGGGGTCCTTAATAACGGCACATGCACTTTTGGCACGGATATAAATTCTGACTGTTTGTTGTCAATTACGACTGTCATTTAGTCCGTCGACATCGATAAACTAAATTCCGACACAATTATCAGTCTACGCAGGTATTAATTTTAATTTTGTTTAACTAC